TGTTTGTAGTTGTGGTTGTATTTGTTGGACGGTTGATAGTTGTTGGAAGTGTGTTGTTTGTAGGTGTGGATGTATTTGTTGGACGGTTGATTGTTGTTGGAAGTGTCGTGTTTGTAAGTATTGTGGTGTTTGTTGGACGGTTAGTGGTTGTTGAAAGTGTGGTGGTGGTGATAGTGGTGGTGGTTGTTCTTGGTAGCAGTCTTGTGCAGGTAACACTGAGATCACTGTTGGTCCCAGTGGACGTGAATGTCAAGAAGCCCGGCCGGTTGGAGGAGATATGGCTGTTGATCCAGGCCTGGTACTGGGATACGCTGGTGTAGACTCCTGGAAAATTCGGCCTGGCACGGCCTTTCCGAAAACTGACGATTCCTGCCTGAATCCAGCGACCATTCTGCTTGCTCACCAGTGGACCTCCTGAATCCCCCTTTGAGAGCAGAAACATTTACTGTTAGACAGAACCATCAGGGTTTATAAAGGGAGCGCAGTCAGAAGATAGCATGTAAGAGGAGTGAACTGCTTATGCATTTGTGTGAGTTCCTTTCCCAACGAAAATACATTTGTTATTTTTTGTGCTTCATATGTTGAATTTGGAAACCTTTCCTGAATATAACCAGACCTTGATTGAATGTCAGTCTGATTAATAACACACACAAACAAAAAAACCAAACATTTGCATATCCACTTTTTATATATCTTGGGGGTTTTTTTTAATTAAAAAAAAAAATTCACCTGAGAAAGGTTGCATTGGTTCTGGGAAAACCAGCCGTAACACACTTTAGAAACAAGTTTAAAAAAAAGTTTAAAACACAATCACATCTTTTAAACTGTTTACCTGTCCACCAGAGGTCTTTTTGTAGAGCTGTCATTGTGATGACTAGATCAGGGTTTTTGGTTCTATACCGCCCCTTTAAGAGCTGCCTTAAACTAGAGCACAGACAGTGATCTGTGAGTGGGAGGCATTCCACAGAGATTCTGAAATGTGTCACGTGCGTGTGTTTAATGGTCATGTACTGTGAGAGCTAGCTTGAGGGGTGATTCCTGTGTGTGTATTTGTCCTAACGCATAGCTTTTGTCAGTGACCTGGATCTGAGAGACCCAGGGTCCATGAGCAGTTATGGACCAATATAATATATGATGTATGTTTGCTGCAGTGTGCTGTTCTTGTGTTCTCCATGCTTGTATGTATAGGCAAGTGGGTGTGTCTGTGAGTGTGGCTGAGCACAGGGTTTCAGGTAGGCTTGGTGGGTGTGTCCCATCTGGAGGCTGGCCCCACCTGCAGCTAACGAAGCCTCATCAGGGAGCTACTCAAGAGTGTGGCTGAGCGCTCCTCGGTGCGGGATCGTTGCGTGAGACTCCACGTCAGTGTTCTTTGTAAGCCAAGTTAAGTGAGTGCATGCCTGCAGTGGTTAAGTGTCCTGACAGTTGCTTCCACTGGTTTTGGGTTAGTGACAATTCAAAACCTACCTTTGAATTTGTTAAAATATGGTATACTTTATCATTCTGTTAAACATGGGACCCCAACGTGGGATCTCTCCCGATTTACTGTTAAATTTAAGCTTTTCTGAATGCAATCAGAAAATAAAAAACTCAAGAATCTTTCCTGTGTCCTGTCTCATTCCCCATGACTGAGCCACATATATGATTTCCTGGTTATAGTTACACACAGCTCAATATGGTCTCTCTTAGCAGATCAGGTATGTTAAATAGAACGGAACTGACTGCATCTGTGTGCACCTGAAAAACTAAGAAAAATAATCTGTAAAAGGTGAAAATGTGCCAAACACAGGTAACAACAATCACCTGACAGGAGTCCTTTCCTCCTGCACTTAACCCGGCACAGATCATGTTGTCAGTGATTGTTCCCACTCCATAGTCACAGTTACACTGCCTGTTTCCCACAACAGGAACCTGCACCTCCATCAGGTTTTGTGGAGAAGGAAGCGACACTGAAGGGGTAAAAAGAAATCTGTTTAATAAACAGCGTGTGACAGATTAAAGATACAAACCTGAACAGTAAACAAAGCATCGTTCCACTTCCCGGCATTTATTCTGGTGGTGACTAAGTGGTCACATGACAGAAAGCTGTGTATATTGAACCACCAGACAAATCTAATTAAAAGTAAAAATAAAACGCACAATCAGTTTTTAAAGTGTTTTTGACGTTCGGTTCGTATCTCTATCTTTGATGCTTCAGACATTTCCCAAATATTTCAGTCCATGTTTCTTTTAGTGTTTATAAAGTCTGTTTCCCTTCCACGCGCACAGGTTTATCATCAAAAACGAAACTGCATGAGGCCAGTTTCTTTTTTACAAACATTTCCTTTGAGGTTGGCTCAGAAATTTGGTGTCTTTTCTATAAATTCATAAATCATAGTTTCTGAAACATTTAGGCTTCTCTTCAGCAACAGAATCATAAAATAAGCAAACAAAGGCTCCTTTGTGGATACTTTGGAGAAGCTCTTTGTTTCCTGTCATCCTCAGACAATATTAATTTGTTCTAACCAGTGACCCACCTCCACTTCCTATGTTGCCCCAGCCGGTGACCCAGCTGTTAACACCGCTGTAGAAGATGCTGTTTGAAGCTGCCAGGCAGACGGGAGAAATGTAGTTGTTGAAAGTCACCGGTGAGGAGAGCCTCAGGAGGCAGACGTCGTTGTCGTTGGTACCAGAGTTGTAGTTTGGATGTCTGATGATCTGTGTTACTGTCCGAGACGCTGCATTGGGATTAGATCCCTGTAGACTCTGAAGGCCCAGATTCACAGTCAGACCGCTTGCAGTAATGCTGAGATCATCAGGAGAGACACAAACAGTGCACAGTTGTTACAATTGTTATAGACGAGAAAACATATATAAAGTTTGAGTTTCTGCTCTGTTAAATATTTGAAAGTGATCATTTCATTTATATACCACATTTCATTACATGAAAATTCAATGTGTTTAACAGAAAATGAAGAAACACTTAAAAATATTTTTATATGTAAATGTAAATATTGATCGTGTTACACCCCCACCCCCCAGCCCAGATTAGGACTCTCCATAATCTCTTTAAATCTTGTTTAGAGTGCAGCTTCAGCCTCATCACTCACGTTGGAAAGCAGTGAGCAGCAGTCAGCACCCACTGACTGTTAATGAGGGATCCTCCACAGAAGTGGGACCCAGATGTTTGCAGACTGACCTGCCAGGGCCAGCTGCCAACAGGGGCCACCTGTCCTCCTACAATCCTGGTGTTCAGAGACGCCTTACCACAAACTGAAGACCGACATTAAAACACAGAGTGAGCATTACTGTAGGAGCTGTAAACTCTCAGCATTACAAACTGCTGAGTGAGGACACAGTGATCCTGGAGTCTACAGTTCACTCACAAACTAATATTCATATGAAACTAAAGATTTATTACACATAAAAGTAAATCTTATCTTACCATCCAGCTGTGACTCAGACTCTGAAACACAGAAAACAAACAATGTTTAAACAAAAAAATCTGCATTCATCTCTCTGTGGTTTGTTCATTGTCTGTAATAACAGTAGGTCAGTCAATAGTCAATATCTGTGGTTAGCTAAAAGCATCCAGCAGTGAGTCAGTCCCCGTGCGGAGGGGCTGTAGCTGCTAGCTGTCTGTTTGGCTTTACCTGAACTCAACCTCTGGGCTGTTGGAGCATTTTTAATGACATAATCTGATCAATAACACAGCTGCTGTGAGGTTACTGTACTAACAGACCCTCCAACCACATAGCAAAATTGGTATGGCCCGGATCTGGCCCATACACCGCAAAGAATGACGGCCCATGTGTGTGGGTCAGCTCAAGGCCATTTGCAGACACACTGGTGGTCCTGTGCTGGCCCATGTGTGGACTACCTCTGGAAAACCTGATCTGGGCCACCAAAGGGCCGTCATTGTTTGCGGTACGTGGGCCATGTGTAAGTTGTGTACAGCCACGGGCCAGTTGTAGACAAACTGTGCTGGCCCAGAACAGTTTCAGCTCTGGCCCCAGATGTCAGAATAATGTGTACCTTAATCAAGCCATGTAATAACAACACGTGTCAGAACATGCAAAACAGTGCAAAAGTAACATGACACATGTTCAGACAGTGAATGGACTGACTCTTATATAGCATTTTTCTACTCTCCCGGATTACTTAAAGTGCTCTGTACAACATACCACATTCACCCAATCACACACTTTCTCTACACTGAGTGCTTCCTAACTACATTCATACACATTCACACTCTTGAAATGTGGAGTGAAGGAGCCAGGGATCAAACCACTAACCTTCTGACCAGTTGGTGAGCTGGTCTACCTCCTGAGCTACAGCCACCCGGTGGTAAACATGAGTAAACCGTCACTAGGTTCTGGATAAAGTGTACACTCACAAACCTGTCAAACCTGCATTTGAAATGTTGGCTACCATAGCAGTACAGTATTGCAACATGGCATTTGGGTCTTCTAACTAAAATAGGAACATAAATAGTGCCATTATTG